TTCCAAAACGGTTTGAAGCTTTTAAAAGGTAATAAAATTTTCTATAAGCTGTGCATACAACACTGCTAGGCCCTGTAGATTCAAAGATAACGAACAATCATTACCGATTTTTTCAATTTTTTTTGTAAAAATATAAAAAAAATTGTACTTTGCGGGGAAGGATCTCGAAAACCTTTTATTTTTTTGCAGATTTTTTTTTCTCCCTAAGCTCTGTTATATTACAAAAAAAATAAGGTATCATCGAAGAAAATCGATGCAAAACTACGTAAGTTATAAGCGATCAAATAAAAATACCCAGGTTGCGCAATTTCAACGTGTACCTCAAAACGTATGTATGGTATAAAGAAGAGTGAAATATCTAGCTATGCTCTGTTTCTATTGAGTTAAAAGTTCAATTTATGAATGAAATTACCCATATTTTTAACTTTTTTTTTAAATTTATTTATGTTTATACTATATTCTAACAATCTTTATCTTAATTTGATTTTACTATGTTGTCGAAATAATTATGTGTTCTACTTTGACGCTTATTCAGTTTAGGATCGGTTTCTCTTATGAGAAACCAGCAGTAATCACCCATCATTGCGACGTCCCAGAATCCTTGATATCGATTCTCAATTAATTTCATTTGCTGATGAAACCTTTCGCCATGTTCATCACTTTCGTCGCCAAGATTTGCCGGAAAAAAGCTCAAGTGTGAGTGGAGAAAGTGAATTTTTAAAGACATATTTACGCCCATTTTCGCATAATTATTGATTAGGTCGTTCACTATCTGCTCGTAGTTAGGGCTTTTGTGTCTACCGAGAAAAGAAGCAACGACCTTTTCAAAGGATTCCCACGCTGCTGCCTCAACTGATGAGAGTAGTCCTTTGAATTGATTATTGTTGATCAACTTTCTTATTTGTGGTCCAACAAAAATACCTTCCTTTATCTTGGCTTGAGAAATATCTGGAAAAACTGTTTTCAAATAGTCGAATGCTTCGCCTTCTTTGTCCAAAGCCTTAACAAAGTTTTTAATGAGACCGAGCTTGATGTGTAAGGGTGGAAGTATGATTTTCTCTTTCTTGACAAGAGGGGTGTATTTGATGTTATCCACACCAACGGTAAACTCGACTCTTTCCGGCCAATCCTTTCTGACGTAGTGGTCCTTACGAGCTCGGCTATCCCACTTGCAGAGGAAGCAGCAGTGCTTGGTGTAGCCACTTTGTAGACCGCATAGCATTGCAACGACTTTGAGATCAGAACATATTTTCCAATCATGCTCTTCATATTTGATAAATTTGAGTATTTTTTGCATTTCCTCGTAGGTTTCCTTTGTATTTACTGCATGTGCAATCGGGATAGAAGGCTTTTTGTTACCAATATGCAATAATACAGCCTTCAAACTCAGTTTATTGCCGTCTATGAACAATCGCCACTCTTTTGAATCATATGTTTGACCAAACTCTTTGAATAAACCAGGGATGTCGTTGCAGTAGCATATACTGTCTTTCTTGGTATAGTGTTTGGAAAATGGTTCGTGACGAGTTCTACTATATGTCACCTTAACATCGGATGACACAAATTTAAATTGTTGCATACGAGAAGTGTGGATCTCGGCCTTTTCCTTGGATAGTTCCAAATCTCTTATCCAATCATTAAGTTGTGCTTGTGACAGAACGTTTCTTTCGTTTTCCATGCGAAATTCAGTACAACTTGATCCCCCGCACTCAGATGTTACTGTTGACAATGGAACTGGATCCGCAACTGCCGTTGAATGTAGTACTGGTAATGTCACTGTAGGTACGCTAGCATAGGTTACTCCTCTTGATCTTCCAACGCCAAGTACTTTTGTTTGACAAATATAACACTCTATTGAATGGCAAGTAGGTTCTCTCCATATCATTGGTGTATCAAATTTTGTTTGTTGTCCTGATTCCCACTGAATCAATTCTACTCGACACGATGTACACAAAGTGTTCGGTGTCCATGGTTTTTCAGCATTTTTAGGCTCAATTCCAAAATACTTGGAGTATAAAGTTTTGATATGATCTGAGAACACTCGTCGTCGCCTTATGATAGTATATTGGCCACACATGAAACAGAACATATCTGGATCCTTATTACACTCAAATTCTCGCGTCCTTTTACTCATTTTATTTTTTTTAATAAATCACGGTTTTGAAATTAGACTTATGAACTGAACTATCTCCGGCGGGCCTTGAAGATGTTATGAAGTTTCAAAGCGCATTAATTCATATTTATACTCGGAACAAGAATAAAATTGAAAAAATCAAATCTTACCTAGACAGAAAGGTTCCTTTTTATAACAAGCCGGGAAAAGAAAATACTACCTGTTTTAGATGTAGGCTTTAGAAATTTTCTGTGTCTTATAATTTTGAAAATCTACCTGCATACTTACCCATAACTGACGGAAATACATGTTTATAACTACATGCCTACAGCAGGTTTCGAACCCAACCACTCTTCCTTTCGATGCAACCACTCTACCTACTATAATACAATTCGAGTATTAAAAGTACTATTTGATTTATTTAAAGAAAAAGTGTTATCATTGTTATGGTGTTATTCGTTTATCCGGATAATATCTCACTTGCACTTTATACCTTTAATATATGTATGTATGTATAGGTACATACATTGAAGTTGCGCAACCTGGGTATTTTTATTTGATCGCTTATAACTTACGTAGTTTTGCATCGATTTTCTTCGATGATAGCTTATTTTTTTTGTAATACAACAGATCTGCAAAAAAATAAAAGGTTTTCGAGATCCTTCCCCGCAAAGTACAATTTTTTTTATATTTTTACAAAAAAAATTGAAAAAATCGGTAATGATTGTTCGTTATCTTTGAATCTACAGGGCCTAGCAAAAAGTGTTGTATGCACAGTTTATAGAAAATTTTATTACCTTTTAAAAGCTTCAAACCGTTTTGGAA